GTGTCAAGAAAATGTCTGGAATTTGTGCGTCCGGAAAGTGTTCCAAAACGTGACCGTTTCCGAATGTTTTCCGGACGCACGGAAAATTTCCGGACATTTTCCATACTTTTCAGGACAAATTCCGAATTTTTTTTTTTTATAGGGATTGTCCACATGAATATCCATGAATATCTGTCATCCACAAATATGGATATTCATTAGTACTATAATGGCGTGGATGATTTTGATCCTATTCTAATAATTTCTCTAAATCAAAATTGGATAAATCAACACTCATTGCAAGCTTACCAAGTGATAATAGATGCATTTGCGACCGATGGATTTCAACAAAATGATCACAGAGATGAAAATTCATGCTTCGTGTTCCACTTTGCGAATGTGACTGAAATGTACACTGTACATGGAAACATCAAACACAATACCCAATGCATTCATGATTCATCAACCAAAATGCTCAACCAGCAGGAGCTGATTGGTATTGCTTGAGTACTTACTAAAGTGAGAGTGTGCAAGAGTGATTTTGGGCAAGATGATACATTTTTTAAGAATTAAAAGATTAAAAGTTAATAATTTCATGATCAATATACGCTAATACGCAAAGTAATACAGAAGAAAATGTTAAATCAATTTTATAAGTGAATTTATTTTTTTTAATGAATAATGCTTACTACTCCTTTTAACTTCGTAAAATCTTCCAATAAAGCGAAAAAAATTAATATAAGGATTTTGAAAAAAATTTTAGGTGAAATTTTATTGATTTTTAAGATACAGTACATAGCGGTTCATTCTTAATGCAATTTCCAGTGTGTAAAGGATCACTTGCGAACAAAATCTTATTTTTGCCTTTTAATTCTTATAAAAAAACAAAGCTTAATGATACGAAACTAAGTTAAAAGAACATCATTAAAGCGAATCACATACGCCTCCGTTTTAATTTGGAACATGGATCACTTTTTTGCCAAGCAATTTTTTTTACAAATACACTAGTGGCGTGATATAACATACAAAAAATAAATACAAGTGTAGGACGCCCGTAATACAGTTGTCTCTTATACTTTCTAATGTTTTCATCAGAAGCTTGCGGGAGAATGATCATAAGAACCTCTCGGGTAGAAATAAACATTCATGTGAAAAAGGGTTAATTTCAAATTGTTTGGATAAAATTATCATTACATACTCGTTTTTGTTATCATCTCTCAAAGTTTGTCCATGGGCTTTTGTTTAAAATTGTTTGTCATCGCTATTAGATAAAATTACTCACCTATTAATAATAATTGAACACTACCAAATATGTTAGCAACAATAAAAGCAATGGTGTCTAAGGAATATGACGTTGACGGAAATAAAACAATTTAGAAAGCGATGGAGATTAAAAAAGTTGAAAGAATGGGGACGAATAAAGAAGTCATTTTTTCATAGCTCTAGCCTCAATATAATGAGCCATCATGGCGGGTTTATGAAATATCCCAAATTTGTCCGTCATGTCAAAATTAAATAAATATTTGGTCATCAAATTTTATTTAAGTCACCAAATTTAGTCAAAAATGAGCCCCGCCCCAAATCATGCGTCTAATCAATTTTCCACTATCTAAAGGCGCGTTATTATTTGACATTTTTTTAGGAAAAAGCTTGTTTCTTTAAGTCAATTTTAATTCTTTGCAGTTCAGATGATATTTTGCATAATAAATTATACTAAAAGTAACCCAAATAATATTTTATATATAAATTATATCAAATATATAAAATAAATTACTTTTTATTTTTATAAAGAATTTTTCTAACTGGAGTGATGATTACTGGTGACCGAAATTATAATGATTGACTGGTATTATTAAAAAAATTTATTTAATTCCCGAGGGCGCAGCAACAGAGTTTTGCCAAATTTCATAAATCCATTGCAATGTTATTCCCATAAATATTTAAACTAAAAGAATGCTAACTTTTCATCTTAATAGCTAGTGGCATGAAAATATCACCATTCAATGCATCTTATTATGGAAATTCTAATGAGCTTTGTCTCATCCTTCTATGATAAATCGGTGGTGTAATATCTCAATGTTTTTGCATCCAACTCATCTTTTGAAAATTGATTTCTAACATGTAAAAATGTTGAAGTTTTACATTATCTATTAATCAAAAAAACTCACGCACTGGGTTTATCATAATGAGACACATTAAATGTACTTTCACGCCACTAGCTTTAAATGAAAAGTTATTAACAAATGTGATCTTATTATTCGAGTGCTAAGATTTCATTAGAGTTAATACAATAACATCAGACAAGAAAGAGATATTTTGAAATATGCAAATTAAATATTGATTCTTCCATAATTCTTTCCAATGATATTAATTATAATCAACTTGTAAAAGCCCTTAAAGCTAGATGATGGGTTTGAAGTGGTATTTACTACTATTTTTTTCGGATCAATATTACATTGGGTTATTATGTAGTACAGTTTTGATTGGACTGTCAGTGAAACTTAATTACCGTTAAACAGTTTCTATAAAATAATTTTTTTTTGACACGTCAATATCACGTGATTGGACCATAAATCTCAGCCTGCACTATGATAAGTTCGGCAGACCAAAACATCAATTTTATCGTTAACGTTAAATTTTAATGCATAGGGTGATCATTCAGATATTTATTATGTAAAAATTAATCAAGCTTTTAATTAATGATAATAATAAATGCTACATTATCAGGAATTATATAACAAAAGGAACAAACAGATTTTTTAAAAAAATTAATTTTATGACGATACGCTTTGACTTCCTTTAAAGGTACGCACGATTCTCATTTTATGGACTTAAAATTTTGAGATCAGCGGTCGATATTTTATTTTATACAAGTATTTACAAGTCCCATAATTTAAGATTTTATAAAATATGTTTAACATATAAAATTTTTCTATAAATTTTCATAAAATTAGGTCGACGGTCACGCCTTTACGAAAATAAATTTAGAAAGGTATGATATATTTTAATAGCTGCTAACATACTAACCCTAACCTAATCTTAAACCCTGTCGTCAAAGATACAGCGGTTGAGGGTTCATCCCATTAAAAAAAATTAATTATTTGATTTGTTATAAAAAAAAATATTTTTTTTTTATTTGTTTTAATTTATTATTAATTAGTATAAATTAAGAAAGGAATATACAATATATTTTATTATTAAAAATATTTAAAAAAAAGGCAGTCATTATATTGATAATATTTGTATTCATTTATTTAGATTAAAAAGAAAGTCTTCATCGAAAAATTCCATAAATAATCAAGTAAATAGTAAATATTAAATAATCAAATAGAATACATACCTGATACGGGGGGAGTAAGCGAAAATTTCGACATTTTTAGTCGTACTTATTGTGATACATTGTGTAAGTGGATACAACATCGTTAAGTAATTCAATAACGGTTAGTTTCAATGTTGCACAGCACAATGTAACTGACTGCTCTGTGTTGTTTGTTATTACGATCGACATGCATACTGTGATACATGATTGTATAGTGCGTTAGTTCTAGTATAAGTAAATCTTTTACAATGACAAAAAAGGAATACGGGCTTAGTATTATCAAAATCAAAAAAAAAGGTGTAACGAGACTAGAAAAAAAGTTATTTTAACATGATCCGTTCTTAAATTGGTTTTATACAGTACATGTACTATATGTATATTTATTTAATACTTTTTTTTTATTATGCTTCAAAACTAAACTAAATTAATACATTTTAATTATCAAAAGTCAAAATGGAATCATACCCGCAAACGACGTAAACAAAATTAACTTCAATTACGCAACAAAATTTCTAATTTAGTCTAATTTTGTCTGCCGGAACTCGGAAGGAACTCGGAAGAGATGCTCCGGTTTAAGTAAACTTAAAGCTTTCAAGTAAACAATTGTTTAATTAATAATAACATTAATTTTAGTAATATATAACATGACTATTGATATACCGAATATTTTATACATAACACATTTTATATTTTTTTATTTGTTTAATAAATATTTCATCAAAATTTTTAACAAAGTTTATTAAGTGTAACTTTTTTTTTGAATCTTTGAATGAATTTTAAATAATTTTTTTTTTATTTGCAGCATTCTTTTCTTCTCTCTTTATGGGTATCGTTAAAAATAGTTTATCCGAGATTATTATGGCTGATTGAATGAAAATATGATAAATGAACTATAATTAAGGAGAACGGATGAAATAATTCCTTTTTATTTTATTCTAATTTTAATTGTTCTTTTTTTTTATTATTTTCATTATTTTATTTTAGAATAAAAGTAATAATATATATTTATGAATTCATTATAATAAAAGTGTTATCATTATACATTGCATTAAAAGTAATAAAATCATTATTGCTCATATATTAAATAAATAAAGAAAATAAATAAAGAAAATGATTCAACGCTTAAAAAGTCATTATTTTATGTAAATATAAATAATATAAATTTCTTTTTTCTATTCAAACTCAAAAATTGATAATCATTTTATTTTATAGTTCATTGTATTGCTTGCATTGATAGTTGAATAACTAAATTTGGTTTCATTAAAGATTACATAATCAGCATACGGATTCACGTATGCAATATTAAAAAAAAGGTAAGACAAAAAAAAAAATAAAATTTTCACCCCTAAATCGCATAAGAATAATGTAACAATTAAAAAGCTTTGTTTATATGTTTATTTTATTTTTTTACTTTACACTTTACAAGAAATTATAGAGATAATCGACACGGTGATACATCTCGGAGATAAGCGGATTACAATGGTCAATTAAGAATTGATATTCAAGTATTTTGAAAGTTTTTGAATGTTAAAAACAAAAGTCCTGTGCCCAATAAAATGCAGCGGATTAAATAATCAACAACATCATAAAATTAAAAAATAATTTCATTAACCATGTTTTAAAAAATCTGACGTACTCTAAAAAAAAAAAGAAAAGTTCTTTACCTTTTTTCTAATTCTAAAAAAAATAAAAAAATTTCAAAATGAAATTAAATCATATATCACTTTTTATAACCCTATCGATTATTTTATTGGTATTATTACCAGTAAAATCATCAATCATTTTTGAAGAAAATCAAAATTCAACTGAACAACAACCCAGAGTGTTCGGTTTAGATTGTTATGATGATAATACTATAGTCGTTCGAATAGTTCGTAAAGATCCTTCCAAATTTCAGTGTCTTAAGGATTATTTATCTATTCGTACAATTTATCCCAATGGAACTGTTAAAGAATTTGATCTTTCATCAGATACATTAAATATACAACCTTTTAATTTTTGTATTCTTCCAAAATATCCAAAAGCAAATCCTCTTAGATTTTATCCAGTAAGAAAAAATTTTTTGTTAATAACTTACGCGGAAGCTGATGATATAAACAATTTTTACACTTATAATGATTGGGGAGTGGTTATCGACTTAGATGGAGGAATTCACAGGTAAACAAATAAATCTTTAAATATATATAAAAATAAAATAATACTTACTTGGTTCATTTATAGTAAAATTAAGCTGGGACCATCGTACGTTAATATCACTACTAAAGATTGGAAGCCAGGTCAAGATTCCATCACGCTAAATGTTCATCGTGATAATGGATTTCTCCGAACCGCTCCTTTAACAAATTCTACTGGTTATTCCTTACAGCAATTTATAATGTAATTTATCATATTAATTTTAATTATAAAAACATAATTAAAATTGATTTAACATACGTATATTATTATTTCCTTTTTTAAGCGATGAAAATGGAGGAATAGAGCAGATTGTAGAAACTATAAACATATATCCTACAGGCTACCCGCTTGAAACAGTTGCAACGATGGACGGAGGATATGCACTTATTTATCCTAATAATACGGGTTCAGCAACCATTTCAACAACTCCTCTTACTCCACAGTTTGGAATTTACTGCATGTTATTAAGATACGGAAAAGAAATCACACAAGGGCCAATCGTACTTTATCAAACTTTGACTCCAATAAATGTTCTTTTACTTGATTGTGATTTTACTTATGTAGGAGTTGGACAAACTTGTATGATAATTGCAAGCTCTACATTAACTGATAAAACATTTATTAAAATTGATTTCCTTTCATCTGGAACTGTATATAATATTACTACTTTTCAGAGTTCAGAAATTACCACAGATTATAGTATTCAATCATTAAGATATGGAGGTTATTTCTCATATTATGGAGTACAAAATATTAAGAAAAACTTTGAAATTAATGGTTATATTATGGATTACTACGGTAACCTCTTTAATTGGGGCCTTACATATCCCACGTTGGCAAATCCTATAGCTGATATTTTAGTTTTACCAAATAACACACTTGTAATTCCTCAACCAGAGGGAGAAAAAAGTTGGTCTTTGATCACTTCTGATTTGTATAAAATTGAGGGGGTACGAGGTAACGTTACACAGAAATTCTTTTTTTTTTTTTTTTTATACCTTTTAAACTTATATAAACTTTATATATATATATTTTTTTTAGACCATGGTTATGATAATTTACATATCGATACCACAATTCCTAAAATTGGTGACGTTATAAACCCGTCTGAAACTAAATTTCTCATAATTAAATATTATAATAAAGTTGATTTATCACCAAATCGTAATGTTACAATTTTACAAGATGATGGTACTAGTCATGGTATTATACGTCAAATGACGTCTATGACTTCTACTGGCAACGATGGATACGATAAATTTGTGAATCTTATTGATGATGAATTTGGTTCTATTATTAACATTACAATAATTGATAGTACGTTCAATAAGCCTGGTGGAAAATATTATGTTTTAATTGATGATGGTTTTGCAAGTAGTAGAGGTTATCATGAACCTATTATTGGTATACAGAGTAGCGCTTGGAACTTTACAACTAGTAAGTGTTTTATAAACGAATTCATATATAAATAAAACTTTTAAAATAATAATTTGTTTTTAATAGTTCAAGAAGATGATCATGAATCAACTAGCATAAAAGAAATATATCAAAAAAAGGTAAACTCTGCTGGTATTAGCGGAAAAGTTCGATTGACTTCAGAAGGAACAAATTATTTTAAAAGTATTAAAGATGACAAACTTAAATATAAAGAATTTTTTGATAATTTAACACGAGAATTGGCTAAAGCAATTCCTGTTAGTACAGAACGAGTAACTACAAGTGAAAAATATGAAATTGATACTTCAGTTTCTTCAGAACAATATATTTTATCTATTAATATTGAAAAAGCAAAGAATAAAGATGAAATATCAGTTAATTTAGCAGCTATTGATTTAGATACTTTAATAAAGAATAAATTCATCACTCTTATTGGATCTGGAGTATATTCAAATTATTTGGATCATAAATATGGATATGTAACCAAACGTAAGAATAAGAATAAGATTTTATAAATATATATTTTAATTAAGAATTTTATTTTAAAGATACTTTTGAATTTTTTTTTGATAATAGCCAGGTGGATAGAAGAAAATTTGAAAAAACTTATTATAACAGTCTTACTTAATATCGGACTCTTATCATTTTCTGCAAAGGTAGATTATAATTATCATAAATTTTTAATCGAAATAAATCAGTAAAACTAAGTACTAATAGAATAATTTATTTTTTATTTAGGAAAAAAATTATGCAATTTATACGTGTGGTAATTCTATTGAAAAATTCGTGACGACAATTTTTTTTACTAGTATAGATGCAGGACATATTGAAAAAATTTTTAATATAAGGTAAATTAAGTATTAAATTAAATAAAACTATTTTTCTATTTTTTAGTAAAAAAAATATATATATATGTATATTTATTTACACTTCTCTCTATTTCTCTTAGTATTTTCCTTGTGACATTTCCGTTTGTCGTAAATTTGGGGGTTGCGTTTATAATTATAATCAATGAATTTATGAGAACCGACCTCACAGATTTATTAATAAAAATTGATGAACTTATTGATAAACTATTAAATGAAGAAGTATCCGACGATTCTGATTCTACAAAAGAATTAATAGTTGATAATGACAATGTAACAAAATCAGATGAAGTGAGTAAAGAATTGAAAAAAGTTATAAGAGAGCTAATAATAAATGAAGATTTAGAAAAACTTAATAAACTCATGGAAGAAATAAAAATAGTTGACGAAATTATCGTAAAAGAAAAAAATGATAATACAGAAAATGAAACAATAAATAATACAGAAGTAAAAAATATTAAAGAAAAATTAAAAGTAATTAATAAACTTATAAGTAAAATAATGCAATTTGAGGATTTTGCAGAAGAATTAAAAGAAGTTGAAAACCTCTCAGAAAACTTGGTCAGAAAAGTGAACAGTTTTACAGTTAAATCAGAAGAAATCGAACAACTTGCAGAAGAATTAAATAAAATTAGGGTGCTTACAAAAAAATTAAAAGAAGTTAAGAAATTTGCAGAAGAAGTAAGCATATTTGTAGATAAAAGGAAATTAGAAGACATTCTTATAAAAGGAGAATTAAAAAACATTAAAAATTTCGCCGATAAATTAAATAGTCGTGTAAAAGACGAAAAAGACGACGATGCAGAAGATGATATAGAGGAAGTAGAAAATGAGGATAGAAATAATAATGAAAACGAGGAAAAAATTAAGAAATGGAGTTTATTAAATATAATAAATGGAATAAAGGAAAAAAGGAGTCACTCAATAAAGCAAAAAAAGGGATATCAAAAATTTTCAAAATGGTTAAAAGATAGTAAAGAACATCGAAAAGTAACAGCACTATTCGTTTTATTAGCAGGGGTTAACATTACATATTTAAGATTACTTGGTTCAAAGATGACAATTCCATGGTTTAACATTTATTTGAATGCTAAATTATCTCATGCGGCAAAACGTAAAATGATATGGGGAGTATTCATTAGCGCTATTATTGGAGATATTTCTTTAATCATTCTTCAAGTAAGTAGTTTTTATATTAATTTTTTTATCTTTTATTAAATCAAACATTAAAAATTCATTTGTTTTTTAATAGAGTTTTTATGTGACTCGAGTTGTATCACTTGGTTATACACCTGTATACAACATTTCAAAATCTAGTATAGATTTCTTCAGTAAAGGATTTTTAATAATTAAACATATGCTCACAGCTCGCTACATATAAAAAGGGCTAAAATCTCAAACCTGGCAATCTGAGAAAGAAAAAGAAGAAGTTAAAACGAACACATAATAATATGTGACAAATTTTTTATAGAAAAAATTTTTTCTTTTTTTCTTGTTATTTTTATTATTTTATATTACTATTGTATTACTATTGATAATAAATGCTTACAACTTTACCACGCATTAAAACTTTTGAAAAACAAAAAAAAATATTTATTATGAAATTGTTATCTATATCAAAAACTCATAAGAATCTAAAAGACCATTGAACTTTGCGTCGTTTATTTGAACGTATTTTTTTTTTTTACTTCAGGCCTATAAGATGAGATGATCTTGTAACGCAAGGATTGTGAAACAAATGTCACGTTTTTTTAATAAATTATTCATGGACTGTGCCTAGGATAACGACTTCATTTAAAACATCACGCCAGAGAATGTCTAAGAGATTTCTGGAAATGTGCAAGAATGTTATAGTTTGTTCAGAAATCTGTAGTAGTCCAAAAGTAAACTTGGAATTTAAAAAGTTTTTTTCGTATCATGGAGGAAGTATGTTAAAGTCATATACAGTATGTACTGCATAAATCAGTCGTCATATGATACATATTGTCGTCACTCATTGTGGAACAATGGGTTGAGACATTTTCATTTTTGTGTAATCGACAATGTGTAGTACGCCGATAAACTACACAAATAATTCATTCAATAGATACAAATATGGATAATGTTAAAGTTGGTAACATAAGTATTAACCAAAAGCGTCATATACAATAGGTAAATAGGAAATATTACAATATTTACATAAGTATTAACCAAAAGCGTCATATATAATAGGTAAATAGGAAATGATCGAGAATTTATTTTTTTCAGTATGAACTTTTGATTATCATCAATAAATAAAAAACATAATGTGACGAATGATCCATAAATAGAATATAATAGTACTAATTTTATATTTTATGTTTTTTAATATTATCTGTACAATACAAATATAACGGAGTTAAAACTATTTAACATAAATTTTCCATTTTTATTCTTTAAATTAATATAATTTACCAGTTCTTGTGAATTCGTGATACTTTATAAGAAAATTTCCAATTTGTACAAATTTAACTCCGATTTCTAGTTAGAAATATTAGAAATATTTTGCAAATTGTAATTAAAAATATTGGACAGTAGTAAACCGTTTATCAAAAGAAAAACATCATGAAAAAAATGCCTATTTTCTTCATAAAATATCATAGATAATATATTATAGATGTAAAATTTTTAATAATTTGACTCATGTCGTTTTTTACGAAATGGTCAGGTTCTAAGTTTTCATTCCAAATCGTAAATGTAACACAATTAAGCGCAGAACAATATATTCAGTTTAAAATTTATAATAATATTTATTTTTAAAATACATGTTTATTAATTTATTATGTTATTTAAAAAAAAGATACAAAATTACAAAAATAATTTTACAAAAAAAAAACGCCTCGCATTTTTGTTTTGCGACCAAAAAAAAAAATGACGTTTTACAAAAAATCAAAGAATTAAATGAAATCTCGAATAATCTATTATGGGGTCGAACAACCTATTTGATTACCTGCACGTTGTGCTGAAAATATAACTAATATTAACTAATATATTTTTTTGAAATTTAAAAAAAAATGTAATATGCAGTATCATTTAAAAGATCCCTGTATAATCCATGCCTTGACCATTCTGAGTAGTCATCGCTTCATTAGGAAGACGTTTCCTAATTTTATTGCTATGACAAGTACGTTTGGAATTATGAATTTTTTTGGTAAGAATACCATTGCTGTCGCAGTCAACACTAAATTCACTAAATTTATGCCTAAAAGATTTGGTACCACCAGAACCGTCTGGTGTTATATTTAACCCATCCGTAAGATCAAAGAGGACATTACGGCATTCGTCAACAATTTTAAGTCCATAACTTGCGTGCTCATCATCGAAACCCTTGCTGAAAATTCCTGCGACTTCGGTATCACCTCTTTCGTCTTGAGCAAAGGTCACGATACCCCTACTTGAACCATGATTGAAATCTGCGACCACGAATCTGCAACTACATTGATTTCGTTTTTCAAATGCTCTGGGTAATAATTTACTACCATTTGGAGCAGCTGACGAAACGGCAATAAGGTATAAGAGAACTAAAAATAATAATGTATGATATTTCATTTTTTTTTTTGATTTAAAAATTTAAAAGGAAAAAAAGACGTGATAAAGTATTTTATTATTACTTTTATTATCGTGAGGAATTGGAGAGAGTGGAATTCACCCTTTATATATTTTTTCGAAAGGAGGAGGAATTTATATTAATAAATATTTCTTTGATTTCATCTAATTACTAAAAAAAAAAAAAAAAAAAATATGTAAATATGCATGCGTACGAGTGTGATTAAGGTCAATGAACCTTTTAAATTTTATTATCAAATTCGCGGACTGTGAACTCAGCACTTTTGTCTTCCGTAATAAGTTTCTTATCATTGGAGAAAATTAAAATACAACTTTGCACTACACCAAAAATAGTCGTACAATTGAATCAACTTAATTTGGTAATCCGGACGGTCCGTTCAAAATAATAACAAAAAAGGCGAAAGAAATTTCGGATAAAATTATTTGACTCCGTTATGATAAACTAAAAAAAAAAAAATGATTCAAAGAATCTAAAAATGTTAAATAACTATTATGGTAATAATAAACTTTGTATTCAAACAAATAATCGAACAATATTAACGCTTCTTTTATGCATGTAACGGATAAAAATTTTTGTACGACAAACTTGTTAATGGACAGCCAAAAAGTTTACCCGTTTTATAAATTTAGAAATTTCTAAAATTTTGAATGGATGTTCTTATTTGTTTAGTATATTCGGTAAAGAGATAATCAAATGTATATGTAATGCAATAAAAAAAAGTATTGCATTGAATGTTACTACATTTTTATGCATAAAAAAAAAATGAAAAAAAATTTTTTTTTCCTACCCTTGTAAAATCTCGGCTGAATCCGTATTACATTCATTGTAACGTAACGAATAATAAAAAAAGTTAGATTATAGATTATGTATATTTTTATTTTTATCTACTATTCATAATGTAAGAAATTATATATTTATTTTTCCATCAAAATTGATTGTATTTTATAATAATTTTTTTTAACTACCGATAAGAAAATTTCAGTAACATTTGTATAAAAAAAGAAATAAAGATAAAAATAAAATAAAAAAAATATATAAAAATAAAAAAGAAAATTTCTATTCAACGATCCAAAAAAAGTCACATAATAAATTTGATGACGCTCCCCTAAAAAAATTTCAATAATAATAATTTATCTTTAAAAAAAAAATTTTTTTTCCTTTGTTTAAAAAATTTTAACTCATATGAAATTTACGATGAGGTTAAATCTTATACTTTTTTTATCAATTTTATTGGTAATATTACCAGTAAAATCATCAATTATTACATATGAAGAAAAGCAAATTAAAACACCTAACGTGATGAATATAAAAAATTTCGATGATGGTACAATAGTTATTCGAATAGCTCATGATGTAAATTATACAACTCCTCCCAGAACTTGTTTTGAGGAATCCTTTTCAATTCGTACGATTTATCCAGATGGAACTATTAAAGAATTTGATATTTCATTGGACATTCAACCTTTTAATTTTTGTATTCTTTCAAAAATTAAATTTTACCCAATAAAAAGAAATCTTTTGTTCGTAACTTTTGTGGTAGCTGCAGATGTAAATAATCCATATTCTTATGATGATTGGGGATTAATTGTTGACTTAGATGGAGTTATCCACAAGTAAATAAAATAAATTTGACTTTTTCATTTTTTAAATAAAATAAAACTACACGCCTAAATAATAATTTCTTTTTCATAGTAAATCTAAACTGGGATCATCATTTGTTAATCCTAATACTAACGAATGGTCGCCCGATCAAGATTCTACTATTACACTAAACGTTCATCGTGATGATGGATTTCTTCGTACTACACCTATAACAAATTCTACTGGGTTTGCTTTACAGCAATACAAAATGTAATTTATTAAGACAATAAAATATTAATTTAATTATAAAATATTGATTCAATCTTTATATTTCACTTTAGTGATGAAAATAATGCAATACAACTTCTCGGAGAAACAATCATCGAATATCCTACGGGTCATCCAATTGGAACAGTTGCAACGACAAATGGAGGATATGCGATTATTTATCCTAATATTACGATGTCAACTATCCCCTTTTCTCCGCAAATGAAATTATATGGAATATTCTTAGAATACGGAAAAAATATTATACAAGAGCCAGTTATTCTTTATCAAACTCGAGCTCCAATTTTAGAAGTTACTTTAATTAATTGTGATTTTGCCTACATAGGAGTCGGACAAACTTGTATTTTAACTTTAAACACTGCACAAGGTCAAAACACATTTGTTAAAGTTGATTTTCTTTCATCAGGGACTGCATACGATGTTAAAGCTTTTCAAAGTCCAGGCGGCGTTAACTATAATATTAAATCACTACGATATGGAGGTTATTTCTTATATTATACACAACCAATTGTAAATGATGCAACTAGACTTAATCTTTATGGCTTTATTTTGGATACCAATGGTATACAATATAGTTGGGGTCTTCCATATCCCACCTTGACGAATAGTGAAGCTGATATTACAATTTTACCTAACAATACTCTTATAATTCCTCAACCGGAAGTTGGTCAAAGTTGGTCTTTAATCTCCATTGATTTAAGTAGAATCGAGGGAGCACGAGGTAAAATGATTCAAACGAAAAAAAAAAAATTTTAATTCCTAAATAATTATTAACTTTATTTTTTAACTTTACTTATATATTACTAGATAATGGTTTTGAAAATTTACAAATCAATGCTACAATTCCAGAAGTTAACGCAATTATCGACCCATCTGAAACCAAAATATTTACGATTAAATATTATGATCAAGTTGATTTATCACCGAATTATAATGTTACAATTTTACAAGATGATGGTACTGGGAATGGTATTATACGTCAAATCACTTCTATAAGCAATAATAATGGAGAATTTGTAAGATATATCGATGACTTTACCATTGAAATCACAGTGATTGATAGTACTTTTAATCAGCCTAATGCAAAGTATTATGTTTTAATTGACAATGGTTTTGTAAAAAATAGAAATTACCAAGAACCTATCATTGGTATACAAAATAGTGGTTGGAGTTTTATAACAAGTAAGTTCTATATAAAATTTCTCTTATTTTGAACGAAAAAAAATAAAACGAAAAAAAAAAATTATATTTACGAATATGACCATTTTTTCTTGAAAATTTTCTTTTACAGAAAACGAAAGTGTTTCAAGTAAATCCAATTTGAAAGAGAAAATTAAAGATATGATTGACTCCAGTATTAACGGAAAAGTTCGATTGACTTCAGACGGAACCACTTATTTTAAAAGTTTTAAACATGATAAACTTAAACGTAAAGAATTTTTTGATAATTTAACATCAGAATTAGCCAAAGCGGTCCCTGTTGGTTCAGAACGAATAACAACAAATGAAAGATATGAAATTGATACTTCAGTTTCACCTGAACAATACATTTTGGCTATTAATATAAAAAAAGCTAAGAATAAAGATGAAAAGTCAGATAATTCAATCGCTGAAGATTTAGATACTTTAATAAAGAATAAACTTATAACTGTTATTGGTTCTGGAGAATATTCAAATTATTTGGATCATGAATATGGATATAAAATCTTACGTAAGAATCCATTTTTTTTTTTTTTCGTATGAAAGAATCTTATCTCATATAACAAAATTTAATATTATTTGTTTTTGTATAAACAGCCAGTTGGATAGATAAATATTTGATGAGCCTTATTGGTTTAGTTATATATACAATATTATTGATCATAATTGCTTTTATGGTATATAAAAAAAAAATATAATTACTGTAATTTTTAATTGAAGTAAAAACTAATTGCTGACAAATGATATTTTATTTTCAGTTTAATTCATTTGCAATTATTGAATGTGGTATCTCTATTGCAAAATTTACGATGACTATTCTTTTTATTAGAAGAGATGCAGGAGCCGTTGAAAATATATTTACTACAAGGTAAAACAAGTTTTAAATATAGTGAAATTAACGTTAAAACGAAAAAAAAATTACTTACAATAATTTTTTTTTTCTTTTCCTTTTCCATCTCAAAGTCTTTTCTTCGTGACATTTCCATTTATCGTAAATTTATGTTTTGCATTTGTTATTGTATTAAATGAGCTCACGAGATTTGATTCAAATGACTTTGCAAAATTATTAAAAAAAGTTAAAGAATTATTAGACATATTAGACAGTTACGATGATCTATTAGAAAAAGGTAATAATCACAGCGATCACAAAGAAAAGTTACAAATAGTTAATAACGAAATTACAATGGTATTAAAAAAAGCTAAAGTTGAGCTAAAAAAAGTTAAAGATGATTTAAATGAATTTAAAGGAATTACGAAAAAATTAAAAGATGCTAATGATCTTATAAGTAAATTAGAGAGTCAAGAAGAAATTAAATTGAAGGAAGTAAAATCTATTATAAAAAACTTGCAACAAGTTAAGAAACTCTTAGAAAAAATAGATCAAGTTGAAAATTTCACAAAAGAATTAAAAGAAGTCATCAAATTTACAGAAGATTTAATCAAACTTATAGAACTAGAACGTATTAAACTAAAAGAAAAATTAAAAGAAATTAATATCGAAGAATTTAACGCTCTTATGAAAGAATTCAAAAGATTTAGCGAACTTATAGAAATATTAAAAAAAGTTAAAGAACTTGATTTTATAAAAACTAACAAATATATAAAAGAATTAGGAATAAAAAATGAGGAAAAAATATCTAACAAACGCAAACTTAAAGAAGAATTGAAAGATATTATCAGTTGTATGGAATCAATTCAAGTTAAATTATCGCAAAATAATGAAGATTACGTAGAAAATCGAGAAGAACAGAAGAAAAACCATCGGTATTGTAGTAATGTTTGGGAAGAAAGTAAAGAACAGATTTATAAGATTAAAGATATAATAGAAAATGGGTTGAAAAAAATTAAGGGGGATCAGCCGATAAAGCAATATCGAAAATTTTCAAAATGGTTAAAAGATAATAAAGATAATCAAATAATTGTAGTAATATTCACGATACTAGCAGGAGTTAATATTTTACATTTAGAATTACTTGGATCGATGTTACAAATTCAAACTTGTAGGCTTAATTGGCTTAAATCAAAGGTGCCATCACGAATTCGAGATCTTAATTTTAATGCTAATTTATCTTATGCAGCAAAACGTAAAATATTTTTTGGAAATATCACTAATATTTTCATAAATGATCTTGCCGAAATATTTATTCAGGTATGAAAATTTCTTTTTACATTAATATTTTTCATTAATTAAATTTTAATATTTTTTTTTAATCAATAGAGCTTTTATTTGAGCCGAGTTGTATCAGCTGGTTACACGCCTATATACATTATATTATATTCCTTTTTACATCTCATAAATAATCTACGTTGTATATATAAATATATGTCGGAACAGGGAAATAGTTGGGCTGGATCATTTAGAATCATCATTGGTAGAATATTTCCTTGTACGAAATCAGTAGATAATAATTAATTAGTTAATATTTACTAAATCACAAATATTATTGGTACTTTACCGATTTTTTTTTCATTATTTATCATGTATAATTGTTATCATAATGAGTTTAATAAAGTAATTTATTGTAATAACTCTTTTTAACTTACTGCTAATTTGTGATCAAAGTGACAGTACGAATTTCAAAATTATTGATGAGTGCTATAATATCCTCACTTCATTACTCTTGTCTAGTTACGTGAATAAATATAAAATTTTATTTCTTAGATGCTAAAGATTAGTAATAACGTTTCAAATACAATAATGTATAATACTATGCGTGTTATCGACGCGGTATAGTTAATTCTTTTTTTTTGATCCAAAAGAGGAAAACAATGTCAAATTATTTACAACAAATTATTTTAATTATACGCCATCATCGATCAAATGTGATCGATCGATCAGAATTCAATGAAGTTATTTGAAGTTTATATTACCTTCGTATTACAATATAGTGATCGACATTCGACAATTTGCCACTTAGAATCTTTAATACAAAAATTTAAATTTCATGTTACGTACATTTATATTTAATATGACTAATTTGAATAATAATAATAATTTCAAATTTATGCAATTAGTTTTAACATCTTATTATCTTTCGATGCGGGTTTTTCACGTAAATTACAATGGCATCTTATTACATATAGTTAACGCACGTCAAACTTGCCTCTGCGGTTGCACGTGATAGCTGTTACAGTATATGATCTAATCACAATTACGATACCTGACCGTCTAATTGTATTAGAAAATTCATCATTATATACGTACAGATCGTACAGTATATAGAAATATTTTATTCAAATAATAATTAAATTATTGATCGAACAATAAAAAATTTGAAAGATTATTCTATATATATGATCGTATTATATAATAGATTTCGAAATAGTGTATATGATGTAACGAGATGATACAACTTGAATCAAACTAAATTCTATCAAAAAAATAATTAAATGAATTTTAATGTTTGGCTTAATAAAAGGTAAAAAAAATTAATTTAAAAATACTGATTACCTTTATAATCTCTTAACCATTTTACCAATTTTTCAGCATTTTCCACATTCCTCCTATATGTATAATTTTACTAATCCATATCTAACTCCTTCCCATATATTACTCCATCTCTTACTTTCTCTCATCTTTTAATTATTCCGTGGATTCATTAACTTTCAAACTCTCTACCAATTTCTTCTCTAAATATGCTAACTTCTTTTAATTCTTTCTTGTTAACGATAACTTCTTTCAATTCTTCTTTGTTAATGATGACTTCTTGTGATTCATCTCCGTTAACGTTGATTTCTTTCAAATCACCAGCGACCATCAAATTAGCAAGTGGATTGCTTTAGCCGGTTCTTGTGTAAATTATCATACATACATACATCATCTTTAAAACATTTGAAGTAACTCTGAAGTCGACCAAACTTTTCAATGCTAGATGCGTTTGTACATATTTGATATACTTTTCGAACTAACTTTTTAATTGGCGCCATTAATTATTCGCATTCTTTTCTCGTGAGTAGGATCTGTATTTTCTATTTTAATTAATTTCGAAATTTTGGTTAATTGAGCAATTGAACTATTATGGAAAAAAAAAAGAATTTTCTTCTACGCATATACGTAACATTAGCACTTACTTAAAAAATTCCAAGCAGTATCTTGTATACCAATGATAGATTCTTGATGGTAGGCCCGTCGAGGTTTGATATCCATTTGAATATAGGATTGCGTTCAATAGAAACTTTGAGTAAAATCAACAATTTATCACAATGTTGTTCAAGAGTTTGGATAAGGATTTGTTTATGTTTATTGAAAATTTCTTACGTTATGATGACACGTCCATAAATGGCGGCTAGAACCTAATTCTTGATTGCGGTGAAAACATGTGAGAGTGTTAAATAATCTGAGGGTAATATGTATTAAGATCTCCAGTTGGCAGCGATTGTGTGAACGATTTCAGTTTATAACATAAGTTTCGCTAATTTTTAAAAGTGACGTTGGGCGATCTGTTTGGTTGTGATTAATCCATGGTTTAGTCCATGGCCAGTCGATGAGGTTGTTTATGAACGCATTTTTAATAAAGTAAGTTGTTGTTAAAAATAGACCTCATTGTTTTCCATATATTCCTATCGATCACAATTGAGTTGCCCATTGAATATTCATTGTTGAGATAAATGTGTCGATGTCTTTATTGATGATGATAATATACGGTGAAGTCGCACCCAGCTTTGCTAGTTTGTCGGCTTCATCATTTAAGACGTCATCAGAATTAGCTTTGACTTTGGTAAAGGATTATCAGTTCTATGGCTTTCCAGATTGATGAGATAATTGTTGATTTTTAAAATAGCTATGGTATCAACGGATTATTTGCAACATTGTTGAGCCTATAAAGATGTTAACTAAACTATCTTTTGGGCACGTAATTAAAGCGGTACATGTTGCTAAAGCCTCCGCTTTGATGGAGGAACTCCAGCGTTCGGTTGAAGCGTTGAATTTCAGCGTGATGTTGGTAGGGAGATCTATGATCCAACCTAAACCTAACTCTGATAAAACCGAATCGGGATCTGTAATTGAGCCATCCGTATAAATTGAGATATTTGATGAACTATTAATCGCAATAGAAATATTAATTAACTGATCTATAATTACACCAGATAACTGTACAGTTGATTGAAACCTTAGGAAGAGGTAAAGGCCGTTCTATTGGTAAATGAATTATAACTAGAAAATCGCTGTAGGCAGTACAACGGAAGGTATGGTGCGAATGTTTGTTAATAATACGGATATTTCTTTGTTTGGGAGTATAATGGATATAAATTGTTGTGAAAATTTTATAATTTGACCCAGATAAACACATTTAGGTCTTAAATCCTCCTATGCCCTCCCACGTAGTATGGGCGATGCATTACACAATTATGGCTATCTCCTAAGATTGATTGGTTAGAGTTCCATAAAAAGCATTGGTGGACAATGCGGTCTATGTGATTTCTAAAATTCTTCCATAAACTATGTCGTTAGTTCATGGGGACCAGAAATCAACCAGGTTCTTGAGTCTTTGCTTGAATTAAACGAGACCAGAGGAATTTTGGGACGTGTAACATTAATGTTAATAATGGGAGGGCTGCTGAAGTCCAAGTTAAGACGAAGGTTTCTTTGTTTGTACGAATATTTTCTATTAAGAATTTGTACCATTCAAGGTTCGTCCATTCCTGCCTTTTCGTGAAAGAACGTCTGGTCTGGCTATGATGCGCCAGTCGAAATAATTTGACTGAGAAACATAATATTTTTGTCTTAATGAGATATAACGTAACGTAAAAATTTTTTGGGGTTAACAATATAACAGATAATGTGAAAGTGTGAAAGTGGTAATTTTGAATCTTATAGCACATGACCGATTATCATTTGACCAATAAAACGTAAATGGTTAAAGGCGACTTGTCAACTGTTAACATGTGACAATCGATTTCTATATATATTAATCGATTCTCACATTCTATCTTTTCTAACGTTAACTGTTAACTGTTAAGTATCTCACGGATAAATATGTCAAGAATATATATTGTATTATTTTAAAATAAGATATTATTATTATTACGATTGTACAAAATTTTCCAATCCCCCGGAAGAAAAAAAGTTTTATATATACCTCAATTAACTGTATTATCAATATTTCTCATGCCAAGTATTATATAATATCTATAATACATATGTCCGAATATTTCAAAATAAATCCTGGAAGCTGGTGATTCCTGACTTTCTAAATGGGCCTAATTTAGAGCCGTTTGATTGAAAAATAGATTTTTACGTAATATCTCGAAGCAATTTCTGGTTCTGATCAAAGTAGCAGGCGGTAAAGAGCACAGGTGCTTCTAGATGGATATAAAAAGGTAAATAAAAATCTTTTTATTTGGGAAGGTAGTTGAAAAGAAAGTGCACGGCTAGACCTACCTAGGCCTACTAGGTTGCTATTTACTGAGCTACGCAACTGGTGCTAGCAAATAGATGATCTAATGACAAAGGTGCTCGCTGATCCGGCACTGGACCCACTGGAATACAAGTGGTCTACTTGGTTCGATGGTTAGGTAGGGTGGGAAATTAATGATAAATTGACATGTTAGTTAAAGACTATTACTAATCCTAAATCTTTCATATTAAACCTTCTAATCCACTGGAATCATTGGAATCAGGCAACGAAGAGTATGCGAGTGAAACTCATGAGACTGATTGGAAGTTGAAAGATGACCATCATTGATGCACTTACAAAAACACTGCCGAATTAGTGAAATCAGTCTCAACGAAAAGCAAGAAAGCAAACGGACAATGAGCGTTATTCGGTATGAATTTAATCATTATTGATATAGTACACTAGGGAAAAGTTGCTAATGTGACTATTACAAATACAATTTAGGACTTTCTTCGATACAGATTTGTTCTCAGAATTTTGTAATGATACGCATATCTGGTTCAGGAATGGATGGAATGATATAAAGAAGGTGTATAGTCAAATCAACATGATTACCAATTCTTTTGAAGGTGAAATTCAAGCGATCGTCAATATTGATGATGAAGTAAGTGTTTATTAACTTTTGACATATACGCATATACGACTACCATTGTTTAATCCATTTATTCATTCTCAGATGTGTGGGCACTATGTTGATATATTGATGCATGGGAATATTAGAACTAACAAGAATACTCCAATGGTTCGACAAGTCGCGACAAATCGCGATCAATCATGTGTAAGATGTTAAAATTAGTTTTTTTTTAATTATGTAATTTACTATATTAAGTCTATTACTAATGCTTTCTAATGCTTTTGCGAGGATCGACAAATATCTTGATAATTCATACTTATTTAATGAGAAAATCGGAAAACGAAAAAATCTTAGCGAAATGGATTATGTGATAAATGCTATTCTGAATGACATTTTCAATGATGTCTTGGATATTTTGAATCTTCATTGGTAAGATTATCTCTATTATGTTATCTACACTCGCTTAATAGCAATATAAAGGGAGAAAATATAACGAGAGACGATGAAAAATCAACCTGAGGATTGTTCATAAATGCAAAGATATTGAACTAAATCATACAGAGTGCATCAAGAATCTAACATCTGCCAAGGCTATTCATGATCGCTCAAAATGTCTGAGAACAACAAAAGGTGTACTTGACAAATTTCTTAAAGAAGATTTATTAGATGAAACAATGAAAAATTTAAGTCAGGCATACAATTTGCTGGTAAAGTTCTTTGTATTGATTATGTTGTTTAAGTTATATGCGATTAATATTTGTCACGTAAAGTTCCAGATGGCCGGATAATCAGAGTTGATCTTTCTGACAATGGTCTTTATTTTGTTCTTGAAGGACCTTGTTTTAGCTTCCTACGCAACTATCGAACATTAAGTGCCTCCGAAACTCTGAAACACACAAGCAAAAGTCATGCGAATATTAATTAGCAAACGACACAATACGTAAAGAAACAAAGTTTTTTTTTAGGCAGATCATGTATAGCATTTATATATTAGAAAATTAAATAAAATATAAAATATTTATTCAAATAATAAGTTGTATTTGATCGAACAATAGCCTTTCCATTAAGGGTTTACCCGGGTTGATGTTCAAGGATTACGTTTATATGTATATATGTGAAATAAGTTATTAAGGAGATGAATAATAGATTTTGTAATAGTATAAATAGGTGTGTACCCAAATGATACGACTTGACCTAAATAAAAACACTTAAACAAATAAAATAACATTTTAATGATTGGTTTAATAAAAAAATAAAAAATTAATAAAATTAATACAAAAATAAATTACACACCTGAATAAATATTGTAGAAATATCTTCAATGAAAATATTAGTGACATCACCCAAAAATAAACTATGTTTTGCTGCATGAGATAATTTAGCATTAAAATTAACGTCAATATTTCGAGTATGTAGATCAAAATATTCAATACTTGGAATTTTAATTCGTAACTTTGATCCAAGCAATTCTAAATGTGAAATATCAACTCCTGCTAATATCGTGAATATTATTACAATTGTTTGACTATCTTTATAATCTCTTAACCATTTTGAAAATTTTCGATATTTCTTCGGCGGCTGATCTTTTTCTATCACTTTTTTAGCCTCCTCTTCGATTTTCTCATGAAAACTTATAAGTCTACTAAACCTTTTCTTAACTCCTTCCCATATACTATCTCTTCTATTATCTTCTTCATTATTTCCTTCATTCGATTCTTCTTCTAATTCTTCTTTATAGCTTTCAAGTTTTTCTAATTTTTCTAATTCTTTTTGAAAACTCTCAAGTTTTGCTAATTCGCTTATAAGTTCTTTTTTACTTTTCGTAAGTTCATCTCTGCTCTTCGTAAGTTCATCGATCGTCGTAGATTCTTTTTCGCTCGTCGGGAGTTCTTTTTTTAACTCATTCATAAGGTTTAAAGCTTTATTTAATCGCCCTTTTAGGTGTACAACTTCTTTTAATTCTTCCACATGTTCCTTAATGGTACCTCCTTCTCCCGATTCTTCTCTGGAAAGGATAACTTCCAATTCATCAATTTTTTTCAATTCTTTTGATAATTTGCCAAGTACATTTAAATTTCTACAAATTTCTATTATTTCTTCTGTAAAATCTTCAACTTGCATTAATCTTTCTCTAAGATTGTTGATCCCTCTCAATTTTTCCACGATGTCTTTTACTGTGTTTGATTTTTCCATGATGTCTTTTACATAATTTGGATTTGAATCCTTTAATTTTTTTATACTTTTATTGACTTCTTTTAATCCTTTCGAGAGATTGCTAACTTCTGTTAACTCTTCATTAATTTTTTTTAATTCTTTTCTAGTTTCTCTTAACGCTTTCGTAAATTTCTTAACTTTTTCTTCGCGCTTGGCAACTTCGTCTTTCTTTGATCCATCTTCTACACTAAAATTGCCATCTTTTACTGTATTATTGTTGTCTACTTCTATTATGGAATCGTTGACATTTACTACTGTAGAATTGTTGACATCTATTACTGTATAATTGTTGCTTCCTCCTACTGTAGAATTGTTGCTTCCTCCTACTGTAGAATTGTTGCTTCCTCCTACTGTAGAATTGTTGCCTCCTCCTACTGTAGAGTTGTTGCCTTCTTTTACTAAGTCATCTTTAAGTCTTTTAATGGTTTTTAATAATTTTCGTAAGTCATGTCTCATAAGTTCATCAATTACAACTTTAAATGCAAAACCTAAATTTACGATAAACGGGAATGTCACGAAAAAAAGACTAGTGAGGGAAAGGGAAGAGAATAAATCAGTATTTGATTAAAATAAGTCTATACATTTTTTTAGGGGAATTTTTTTTTTACCTTGCAGGAAAAATTTTTTCCACGCTATCTGCATCATTACTAGTAAAAAGGATTGTCGTCACAAATTTTTCAACAGCGTTGCCACATGAAAAAATTGCAATTGAGTTACACTAAAAACAAAAGAAAAAAGTTAGATTTTTTCATTTTTTGTCAATATTCAATTAAAAAAAAAATTAAATAATAATCTTAATAATATATTAATATTAAATGTTATTATTTACCCAATAAGCAAGTGACAATAATATGATGTTCAATCCAATTGTTCCAAGAAGACTACCCAAATGTTCTTGTATCCACCTGGCTATTTTTACAAAAAAAAAAAAAAAATTATTATTTAGTTATTTGAGATGAAATCCTTTATCCGAAAAAAAAATTGGATTCTTACGTATGGGTACATATCCATATCTTTCATCTAAATAATTTGTATACTCTCCAGTACCAATAACAGTAATAAGTTTATTCCTTATTAAAGTATTTAAATTATCAGAGATAGAATCAACAGATCTTTCGGTTTCATTCTTGGCTTTTCCAATATTAATAGATAGAATATATTGTTCAGGTGAAGCGGAAGTATCAATTTCATGTTTGTAATTTGTATATATTCGTTCCGAATCAACAGGGATTGCTTCGGCCAGTTCTCGTGTTAAATTGTCAAAAAATTCTTTAACTTTAATTTTATCGTCTTTAATCCTTCTGAAGTAATCTGTCCCGTCTACGTTTAATAGAACTTTTCCGTTGATGGCAGATGCGTTTACTTTCTTTTTATAATAATTTGAGAAACCACTGTTTTGCGTAACACCTTCTTTAGCTATTATGAAAAAAAAAGAATTTTATTTTATATATATTTAATATTATTTTCATTTTAAATAAGATAAAACACTTACTTGTAAAAAACTTCCAAGAATTATCTTGTATGCCAATGATAGGCTCTTGAAGATCTTTACTCTTTACAAAACCATCATCCATTATAATATAATACATTGTATTAGGCTGATTAAAAGTACTATTAATCACTTTGATTTGAATAGTATAACCATCAATATTTTTTACAAAATCTCCATTATTATGGCTTACAGAAGTAATTTGTCTTATAATACCACCATCTTGTAAAATTGTAATGTTATGATTAGATGATAAATCAACTTTATCATAAAATTGAATTGTAAGGAATTCAATTTTAGATGGATTTATAATTTCACCAATGTTCGGAGTTGTGTTGAAGATATGTAAATTTCCATAACCATGATCTAGTAAACATTTTAAAAGTTTATACAAGTTAAAAAAATTTTATACGATATACTGTAATTATATTATTTCTCGTTCGTATCACCTTACCTTGTGCACCCTTGATCTTGTACAAGTCAGTGGTGAGCAAACCCCAAGTTTGTTGAAATTCCGGTTGAGGAATTGCGATAGTATTATTTGGTAAAACTAAAACATCACCATTAAAATTTGTTGTAGTAGGGTATGATATATTCCAATCATAACGATTACCATGGTCATCCAAAATATAACCATAAAGATTAAGTTTAGTCATATCATTTGGAAATGGTGCTCTACTATATAAGAGATAGCCACCATATTGTAATGACTCAACAGTAAAATCAATAAGATCAGCAGGGTTTTGAAACATAGTAATATTATATACAGTTCCAGTTGAAAGGAAATCAATTTTAATAAACGTATTTCGATCTATTACTGGTGCAATGTTTAAAACCAGTATACAAGTTTGACCAAATCCCACTTTAGTAAAATCACAATCAAGTAAAATAATTTTTGATACCGGATTTGGAGTTTGATAAAGAACAAATGGACCTTGCTTTTCTGGACTTCCGTTTTGTAAAAAAAAACCATGGATCGACATATATGGAGCAAGGGGCATTGTTGTTGTTGTTGTTGTTGTAAATTCATAATTAGGATAAATAATCGCGTATCCTCCGTCCATTGTTGCAACTGTTTCGATTGGAGTAGCCGTAAAATTCATAGAAGTTTCTGCAAGAAGTTGAACTTCACCAATTTCATTTCTTATAAAAGAAGAAATATATATAAATTAAATTATACATTAAAATTAATTTTCGTAAATTAAAATTTAATACTTACACTTTGAATTGTTTCAAGGTCATAGAATTAGTACCAGTTACGGGCGCGGTACGAAGAAATCCATTGTCTCTATGGATATTTAATGTGACAGAATCTTGGGCGGGCAACCATTCGTTAGTAGTAGTATTAACGTAGGATGTACCTAACCAAATTTTACTATAAAAGAAGCGAAATAATCTTTATTATTTATGCTCATATCAAATATATAAAAAGGTTAATTTATATTTACATATATACCTTTTAAATGATCCATCTAAGTCGATGATCATTCCCCAATCATTATAAGTGTAAGGACTGTTTACATCTTCAGCTTCCGCGTAAGTTATAAGCAAAAAATTTTTTTTTACAGGGTAAAATCTAATAGGATTAGCGGTTGGAAGAAGACAAAAGTTGAAAGGTTGTATATTTAATTTAACTGCTGAAAGATCCAATTTCTTAATAGTTTTATCGGGATAAATTATACGAAGTGATAAGAATTCCTCCACACAAATTTTTGGAGGAGCTGTGTAGTTTACACGAACTATTCGAACGACTATCGTGCCATCATCATAAAAATTTGAATTTAACACGCGAGGAGTTGAAGGGGTTTCAGGTGTTTCTTCTACAAATGTAATGGAAGATTTTACAGGTAATATCGATAGTAAAATAATTGATAAAAGAAAAATAAAAGATAACTTCAACTTCTTCATCTTTGAAAAAGTTGAAATTAATTTTTTAGAGAATAATTTTTTTTTTTTTAAAAAAAAAAAAAATCAATGAAAAAGAAATGAACCCCAGTTTAAAAAATACCCTATAAAAAATTTTTTCAGAAAAATGATCACGTACCCGAGTTACTTCGAAATGAAAACTAGAAAAATTATCATTTATCGGAGTTTTTTTCAGAATTTTTTTTTTTTATAGGGATAGATCACTGAAATTTTTCAAATATATATTACCATATTGGTTAAAATTATTGAACAAGACATTTTGGATCATTGATTAAAAAGATATTACCACAACTAACTTGATATTTTACAATGTAGTTAACGTAACAATGTAGTTAATATTGTTGGAGTTTTTTTCAACCATTATTCCGAAATTTTTCGTAAAAGAATTTAACCTTTTTTAGATCTCTTAATAATTTTATCATTCATTTAAAATTTAAAAGATTCGGACCTGTTTAATGCATAAAAAAAAAATGAAATTTGAAAAAAAAAAAATACTTTTCATAAACAAAATAAGTTTAATGGCGTTACTTATTTATTCTCCGGAGTTTATATTCTTGAAAGTTCCCACCAGCCAAAAATATAAAAGGTTCTATTATATATGATATTTTTTAAAATTTTAAAATATGCAGTATATATACAATGGATAAAAATGTTTAAAATCCGCCGAAAAAGATGCACGTATAATAAAATGGATTGTCATTTTAAAGATAATCATTTTTTATTACCTTATTTTATTAACTAGAACTATTTCAGTTAACAACAATTTTCAATCTACAACATCATTTACTTTATTTGTTGATCTCCTTCCTTATATAATTGGATCTAACCTTCTTTTGGGCCTTTTAACGACTTAATGGAACCCTTTTTTTTCTGGAATCACGACCTTTTAATGCAAAAAATATATGCATACAAAAATCTAACATTTGGATTATGCTTATTTCCTTAATTGCTGATTTTTCACTTTTATGCATGTATATGAATAAATTCATTTTCTTCATTGTAATTTTTAAACATAACATATTCAAATAAATGATTTTTTTTTTGGTAATATTCTTCTAATATTAGAAATGTTTTAAAAAAAATCTTAATTTCAAATTCAATGTCATTTTTTTTATGGCGTAAAAATTTATATATAGAACTTTCATATTTACTAAAAAGACTTATTGCAAATGACGAAAAAGTAAAATTTCCGCTTCATAATTTCCGACAAAGAACTTGTTTAAAGAAATTATATAATGCAATATATTTTATGCAACATTTTTTTTTATTTTTAAACTTTTACACGTATTTTTAGATCAGAACAAAAAGAAAGAATTTTACTATTCGACTAATAAGTTAAAAAATATAAAAAGAATTGAGCTCCACCCTTCTCCACCCTCTTCACCAATTCAATATTCGAAACAAAGAATCAATAATAAAATATTTTCCAAAAAGAATTACTTTTTCCCCTTATTTTTAAAAAATAACAAACAACAAATATGTACTATTCTTTTGCAACTTTGAAACTCTTTATTCTTTTATCTCTCACAACTATTTCATCGGCTTCGGCTTTTACAACTGATAATGGATTATTATCTAGTACGCTCCAAAAGCGTAATCAATGCAAATGTTCATATGCAATGGCCGATTTCAACTCCGATCCAGTTCAAGGTCTTGTGATTTTTTCACAAGACGAAAGTGGTCACACAGAGGTCGCAGGAATATTTAAAAAAGGCTTCGAAGATACAAAAGCGTCTTACGGATTTAAAATTGTTGATGAGTGTAAGAATACACTTTTCGATCTCACGGATGGATTGAATATAAAAGTAGATGGCTGCGGCGGTACCAAATCTTTTAGACACAAGTTCACAAATATGTCCATTGACTGCGATGACAATGGAATTCTCACCAAAACTCTTCACCATAGTAAACGTCACTGTAATAGCAGTAAATTCAAGAAGCGTGGTCCTAATGGTGCCATGACAACACAAAATGGTGAAGGCCATGGTTACGCCGGATTATCTAAATAATTTTAGAATTATAATTTTACATTTTTTTTTCTTTTTTGTCTTTTAAGTGTTAAAATTTTTGTATTAAATTGTCAAATATTAATAAATAAAATAAAAACAATTTTAAATGAAATATAATAATTATTGTTTAATTGAAAAAATAATATTTTATCATCGATCTCTTTATTGTACGGAACTTAGTTCGGGCCGAACGACGCGGTGTATTTTTTTCCACTTTACGTCACTATTTTTGTAACACTTTACTGTACAATGATGGTCATTTACATTCCGTTTAATAATAGTTGATTAACATTTTTTTTTCCTTTTCTATTATCAGAACTAAAGTAAATAATACTGTTAGAATTTTCGGCTTGAGTAGTCAGTACTTCATTTCTTTTTTTTAGTCCACTTTGCAATCTTTAATGCTATATAACTAACTCACGAGATTATAATTTTTTTTTTCGTGTCAAAAACAATTTAAAATATATTTTATTATACATACTCTTTAATCTTTATATATGTTTATTATGAGGTCATTCAAATAAATACTGTAAATTTTCAAGTTTAAATGACGTGATTTTTTGTCATCTCTTTCTTTATATAAAATTTAGTAGCACAAAATTTAGTAGTACAATATTAAAGAATTTCTAGCCGATCAATATAATAAATAATAAATAAAAGATCAATACAATTATTACAGTAGTAGGTAGTACTAGTAGTACTTCAATGAATAAAACATTCCATGTGATCGACATTTTCCACGGTTAATTGTTCAGATTTTTCAATTTCACGTGATGAAGCTATTGTTACAACGCAGTACGCAGTGAGAACCAATAGAAATAAGTGTAATCATGTGATCAATTTCAAATTTTTAATTTTTTAAAAGAACAAACAAAGTTTGTCCTAATGCCTTAAAATTATCTACATAGTTATAACCATTTAAATATACATAATAAATGTTTATAAAATTTTAAACCTATTAAATTAATACTTGTCTAAAGTTTTTTTTTTTGAAAGTGTAACTTTTAAAACAAACTTTTGCAAAAAGAAAAATCAAAGAAAATCCGTGAAACTTCATAACTTGAAAACTTTACTCTTGGCTGTATAACCTTGCAAGTGTATATATTGTTGTAAAAGGTTTATAAATCATGATAAATTTGTGAGAAAATATTATTAGAAGCGATTTGAAAAAAAAAAATGAAGGATTTACATTTGGTTACACAATTAGGGGTGGCACTAAATTAAAAACACCGAAAAAATTTAGGGTGTTTGTGTTTACAATACCTTATATTACGTCATCTACAATGATTCCCAAAATTCGAAATTCATTATTTCATTACATTTAATTTGCATGCATCAAAGCGGAAAAATACTATTGAATTATTTTCCGTAAAAGGAAGAAGGGATTATGGTACATATTTTTTATAAAAAAAAAAATTTTTCAAGTGTTGTTGCTTAATAATATTAAAGTTCAGTTCCACTGAATGTTAATCATAATAAAAAATGATTTTATTAAAAAATTTTCAAATAAATATCCATTTTTATTATTTTATTTTATTAATGCACCTGTATATGTATTCTTTTAAAGAAATATCATATATTTTATCGAATTTATGAAGTAACACAACCGGAATTTAATACACCGACTATTTTTCTGTATAATTATGTGAAAATTATACTGTTTGTTTAATATCAGGTTTTATTATAAATAGGACTAACCCAAAAAATCCCGTTCAATAATATAGAAGAATAGCGCCATTAAAAATAAAAACAATAGAAATCATTCGGCGAAAATCATTCGGTGATAATGATAAAAGATAATGTGGTTGGCTGTCGTTTTTTTTTTTCAATGAAACCAAAATTACAATGAAACTAAAAAATATAACAAAATGAAAAATGATTTTATCATAAGAAATTTTTTAAATACACATTTTACAAACCTAAAAAAAGTTCTGCCTTTTTGAGAATAACACCAAATAAAGTATTACATTTTCCTATTATGTAATTGAAAGGATTTGAAAAATTATTACTGCATTACATAATGGAGTAAAGAAAATGTAATTAGTAAAAATGGTTTCATTTTTTTCACTTTATCAATAAAGTAGGCTTAGTGGCGTTAATCTATGAGACGATAACAATAGTGTTATCCGTTAAATTCAGATATGGCTCGAAGCAATTGTTCTCGTATTATTTTTTTTCTCTTTTTTCCTGATAAACATTTTTAAGAACTTAATGGATAGTGTCTCAGTTACAATTAGGGATGGCAAAAAACATGTTTAAAACAATTTTGGCGTTTTAAAACATTAAACACTTTATTAGCCTTTACGACGTAATACATATTTGCAATAAAAATTTAAGCACTTTATTATATAATATATATTTAGAGTATAGCCGGACCGACCTTGTTAGGAATATAGCTTAGTGATACTAGTGATTCGTTAAATAAAATGTGCGCTAACTCTTAAAAAAAAAATTATATAATATAATCTTCTAATCGATCAATCAAATCAATAACTAATGTCATTTCCCACAATAATTACACACTTTTGGCGAGGTGTTTTTCGTAACTTTTCAAAGTGCTTACGGACGTCTTCCGATGATGGTCTTCCACGAGAATAATTTTAAAAAGGGTTGCTTAAAAATACAAAAAATGTCATTAAAAAATAATTGCGCAATAATCATGCCGATCAATGTTTTAAAACAAAAAAAATTGATTTAAATTGTTTTAAAACATCTTGTTACAATTAGTGGTGCTGGTAATGCAGTTTTAACGTATGACGTAATTAAAAAAAAACAACTAAATAATTAAAACAAATAAAAATATTAAATAAATTAGCATATTTTTTATTATTTATATATAATCAATTACTGCTTCTTTTAATTAACAGCATTATTTAACATTTTTCTATATGCAATTTTACTATTACTAGTATATAAACGAAGGATATAAAATCATAATGATAGCATGTATTTAAAACATCATCAAACTATGTTAATAGGATTAAATTCTATATTATTATTAAATTCTTTATTAGTATTAGGTATATTTAGTTCTTCACGCAATCCATTTTCTCCTAAAATTATAGTAGTAGTATATGCCGATATGTTAAATTTCGAAACTTAAAAGCAGTTTTCAAATAAAAAAAAATATATTGAGTTTAAAAGTAGTTACACCAAAAGTTTATTATACAAAGCCTAGAAAATTTAAAAGTAATTACGTCAAAAGTTCTAAAAAATCCATATGGCAAAAGTCATTTATGACGTCATACGACAATGTGACGCTACTGACGGGACGTTGAAAAAAAATGACGTAACTAACTAAGCTTCAAAAGTCTGCACCACTACTTACAATCATGTAATTATCAAATATCACATGATTGTGATTTTGTAGTTACTAAATTTTCTACTTCAAATATAGATGTGCAGAAATGTAAAAAATGTTACCTTCATTAATGAAATGCATGTCAGTTTAAAACTTGTAATATATGTCACCATAATGTTGCTTTATAATTATGAACTTAACTAGAAATTTACACTAATGAATACTTAGAATTAGTTGCAATATTTCAATTGATATGGCGTAATCCAAGACGATCGTGTTACGATAACATGATTTAGTGTAGTTACGTGCACATACAGATTTACATTGTTTATTACCAAATAAGGAAAGGCCTAGAACCGATCACCAGTTCACCACGTTTAAGCGTTTGCGTTTAACCTTAAGCCCATAACGACTCCTTATGAGATACGTAGCACGAATACACTACATTTTTACAGTATGTTTACTATGTACTCGAAAGTGACGGCTATTATTAGGATTCTTAGTTACAATGATTTGTTAAACATAACATACAGTTACAAAACAAAAAAAGGCTTTTTTTGTGGAATAAAACTTGATATAGAAATATTGAACCAGAGAATTTAGACAAAATTTTTTTTTCTATAATAAAGTTGCTTAAAAAAAAAAAAATTAAAAAATTTTGTTTATTTTTATGATAATATAATGATATGGTCTAAAATTTAATATTTAATTTTTATTCGGAAATGTTTCGCTAATACAGTAAATTTTATCAATATTTGGCACAAATGTATCGTTCTTATACGATCACGTGCTATTTTCTTATACAATCAAATAATTCGGATATGTTGGTTCTTTTCTTGACCTGAAAATCAAAAGCATTAACGCGTTGTTATTTAATTATTTTTTTCTTTTTACAAGAGTATAGAGTATAGATACAAAAAGAATTTTTTTGCAAGACATTATTAATAAATGGACTTATAATACTTAATGAAAAATAATACAGTAGTAAACAGTATTGATATTTATGAATATATATATACTGTATATACTGTATTTAAATTAAATTAAATTTTTTATTTTAATATTTTATATCAAAACATTATTATACTTGAGATATATGATCGTACAAGAAAATGGTCCAAGAAAGATACGTAAAAGGTATTGCCGCTATTTGCATAAGAAATAGCACGTGATCGTATAAGAACGAGTGCTACGCCTCGAAGTCACGTGGGGAAGAAATTTGGTAAAATTTAATCACAACCGTGTTACCAACCAATGGTAGACTACTTCGGTAGTCGACACCCAGGGGGATCCTATCCGGCTACCAATTTTACGTGCAATGCTGTTAATGCCTAGTGTTATTTTATAAATAACAGGCAGTACGATCTCTTCTACGAGGAGGTTGGGTTTATACGAGTATAGTGTAGCGTAGTAGTAATCCTTTTGTAAGAGCTCAGCCCACAGACTTGTATGGTTCCCGTCATTGTCTATATTTAAAACACTAAAAGATTTGTTGGTTGCCGATCGTACTAAAATAGAAAAGCTTGATTTGAAATGTATTTATATAATCAGCAAATCAATACCAAAGATGGGGGATCAGCATCTTAAAATGGAAATCACTCAAAAACTAATCTTATGTTAACGTTAAGTTAACGTTAACCTATCATGACATGTCAATCATTTTAAGTCATAACAATAACGTGACGCGCCACCCACCCACCCATAGGGTGATATTGCACTTATATAGAATGATCTTTCTTGCTTAAAAATTATGGGATAAAATTTTTAGCAAATCATGTGAAAACTGAATAATTTTTTTGTTAGCCAAAAATGATCAACAACCGGATGACAAATTTTAATATTATGTAAATAAACAATTTGTTTTTTTTATTTTGAACCAAAAAATAAACAATAATCAAATGGTAAATTTTCATTATCGTCGTCATTACATTATCGTTATAATTAAAGTTCCCTGCCGAAATTAGGGAGTTTCGGCATGTCAAAATTGTCAAAACTATTTTGACATGTCAAAATTGTCGAAACCTAAAAATATTACATTTC